CCGGGCCGAGGAACTACCTCGTCAACCGACGGAACTTCTCCGGTCTCTATCTGTTCTGCACCTCCCATTGCCGGAGGTGGCCCTTCAACTACCGGAAAATCTATCAGAAGAGCATCGTGGGAAGAACTGCCTGCCATTGTTGATCTACTAAAGAGAAAGGGATAGAATTCGGTGGGCAAGGCAAAGGTTATCACAATCAAAGGAAAGAAAGGAGAAGATGAATTAGCAGAATGAAAAAGTTTCCTCAGAATCTCTCTCAGATGAACAATGAAGATATGAGAAATGAATGCCTCAACCCACCTTTATAGGCAACATAAATGGCTTTCGCGAAACCCAATAGCCATCATTAACTGCACGACCAACCATAAAACGGTTCGGTTCTGCCGAAGCAGGCGTTATTATGACAAGCTCTGCAAAGCGGCTTCTCAGCCATCCGCCAACGTCCCGCCGTCAGAATAATCGCAACGGCCTGCGAACGCTGAAAAAATGTGCCGTACGCCTTCAAAATTCTGGACGTGACCAAGTACGCACCCGGTGCATACTCATTCCCCACAGCCATCCCCATTATATGAAAGGCTACGGCCATCTCTAATGTATGAAAGGCTCTCCAATATATGAAAGGCTACGGCCATCCCCAATATATGAAAGGCTACGGCCATCTCTAATATATGAAAGGCTACGGCCATCCCCAATATATGAAAGGCTACGGCCATCTCCAACGTGTAAACGGCTAAGGCCACCGTCGTCAATAAGTCGACCCCCTTATTCGAGTTTTTTTCAAATCACAATCGATGAAGTCCGCTCATCGAGCTCGGCCAAACACGACCTCAATAAGCGGAGGGACTAACTGTATGGGTCAGAATCCGATCTCACGGTAATAAACGGAGTTAATCTCGTCTTGAGCTAATCCATAATTAATAAGTGGTATGGCCACTTATTCATAACAGGATTCGACTCTTGTCCGATTTAATCTACGAGGGCACGGCCCATTCATTCCCCCATGGGGACGGAACCTCAGCGTGGCCACGGCCATTTATTGCCAGCTCACGAAGCTCACACCTATAAATACTAAGAGCGGAAGCCCTAGAAAGGGGGCTGCTTCTTCACCACTATTCACAAGAGAGAGAGAGAGAAGAGAAAAATATACCCATCTTATGGGAAGAGAAAACACCATTGTAAGGCTCTGAACCTCTTCATGGAGAGGCAGACCAAACCAATATTGTCAATAAAAGCTGTTAAGATTTCTTCTCCTAACCTTGAGTATTTATTTTCATGTTCTTTGCTTGGTCCAATGGATTATTACGATTTGCTATGATTTTCCCGTAACTTATTTATATTGTTTTGCACTCATAAAGCACAAGATAACTTTTGAGCAAACACACCATATTAGAAAGACCAGCTTTGGAGTATGTAAACTATCACGATTCTGGCAGATATTTTATGTCATTAGATTAAATTTGAGGTTCCACGAGAAACACATAATATATCGAAAGAAATGATATTCTTAGTGACACACATGCATGTGAATATCCGAACAACTAACTCGCAGATATATAGGTCCTTAAACCAAAAAGTATGATCTCAGAAGTGCACAAAGCTAGTTGGTCCAAATTTTACAATATGAGCAAATAACACCTACATTTATTCATATATCACCATATTAGAAAGGATAGCTTTGGATTATGTAGACTATCACGATTCTGGTAGATTTGCGTATGTCATTAGATTAAACTTGAGGTTCCAAAGAAACACATAATATATCGAAAGATATGATATTCTCTTCTCATTAATTAACAACAAAGTGACGCTTATGCATGTGAATATCCAAACTACTAAGTTGCGGATATAGAGGTCCAGAAACCAAAGACCACAACCTCAAAAGTGCATAAAGCTAAATGGTTCAAACGTTACAACGCGAGCGAATAACTTGTAAGTTAATTCATAATGTTCGCGATGCTGAGGTAGTTGTAGTTCAGCAAAATGAAAGTGCAATCTCACATCGTTACCATTACAAAGATTTTGAGCTTAAGTGTGTTTAACCAAAAAACTGAATATTTGGTTAAAGCTAGAAATTAAGAGAGAAATCGGGTTACTGATAATCAAGAAATGAGAGACTTTAAGAATGACAATAAAGTAATGAATAAGTTTATATTTCAGTATATTCATAATGATCTCCCCTACAGGTGTTGAGACCTTCTCCTTTTATAGTTAATTCTAAGAGAAAGTGTAATGCCTTTGTCTTAATGAGGCAATTATGAGCAATAAATGACATTAAAATAAACGTTACTCAATCATTCCTATTAAATACAAATTCTCTAACGTATTTGGCATTTAATGCTGAATTTGGACTCTTTTACGCTATCAGATTCATGTCTTCAATTCCTTCTGATCTTCGAGCTTTAAATGACTCGAACAGGTACGAGTCTCATTTCATTTGAATAATAGCTCGTGCCTTTAAGTATCTTCTCTCCCGCATTTGTTGTTGCTCGTGCCTCCTAACTGATTACCACGTTTTGACCATTTGACCAATCCACGTGTCATGACACGTCATCTTCAATATATAAATTCAGTTTTTTTTCCCAATACAAAGTGGTCATATGCTAATGGACATGACCATTGACATATTCAAGATGTAGGCGAGGTATGCATCCTCGAGCTTGTGAAATTGCAAATTAGATAAACAAAAAACTGAAAATTAGAAAGAAAACCCAAAATGAAACAATAAGAATGATTTCACTGCATCTAAGACTAAGTGACAGAGAGGAGAATTATCTAATTGAAAACATATGCCAAAAGGAAAAGACAATTGTTTCTACAAGGAAAACGGTAATTCTGATTTGCTGAAAAGAGGGAGAATCATATGAGAAATATGCAAAAGCTTTATTTATACCTATTGCTTGCCGGTCTGTCTGGGCCTCTAGCCAATGCTGCTCAAATTGAATGTTGTATAAAGCTTCCTCTAGTTTCCCAATGTGCTCAAACAACGGCTTGAAATGCTCTGCAGCGTCATACTAAAATGTAAGATCTCACGGACAATTCAAGCTTCTAATGAAACTTAACATCAATGTCAACACAAATTTGATAAAAGCAAAACAACAAAGCTAGAATTTCAAACCACACTTGCATTATTAACACTTCAGAATCATAGAATAATTAATCTGATGACTACTATAAGTCTATAACCCCTTTTATACCTAAAACACAGGCTAATTTTTTTAATTAAATCAACGAAAAATCACAAAAACAAGAACGTAAACAGAAAATTACATAAGTATACAGACTAATGAAGAGAGAGAAAAAAAAACACAAACAAAGAGAGAATTGAGTAACATATACCACAAGATCAACACCCTCTTCACTGTAATGCCAAGAACCTTCTGATTTGATAACAACAAACGAAAAATGAACGGTCTCTCCCATTTCAACCTTATGGGAAAAACATTCTTCTCTGTCTATCACAAATCTAATCCCTAAAGCCCCTCTGGATCTCCATGCCACTGTACTTGTTGTATTCGACCCGTATCCGAAGACCCGTTTTATTTATTTATTTTATTTTGAAAATCCCATAATTTTGGAAATTGGGAAGTCTAACTGGTTGAGAATGAGTTCACACTTCACACTCTTCTTCTTATGACTAGCAAGATGCCACTCATTTTTGTATTTAAATCCGCTATGTCGGTTCTGATATGGTGATAAATTTATGCCTTTGAGGGCTATTTGCAACCGATTCATTTTGGTAAAATTGACAGAAGCGGACCCAGGATTCGAGCATGACGGGGGCACCACTATATGCTAATCACTAACGATAAAATTCGGCGTGCAACTCTTTGAAACTTAATGATTATGATGACTTATCATCCAAGTATTAACAAAAAGAAGTTCTAAAGAAAAAGAAAGCACTAAACGGGGGGAGAGAGAGTTCTTCGCAAAAGGGCGTTCAAACTTAAAATTATCAAAGACTTACTAAAGAAATTAAGATTGATAGTATGTTAATACTAAAAGAATTTTGAAGAAGAGTCTCAAACTCTTAGTTTCCATTGCCAATTCAAAGTGATTATTAAAGAAGATTGTGGGAGTGTATTTTTCTATTTGTGGAGCGATAGGTTGCAATTTGAGGTTTTCAATTTTAAGGAAGGAATTTGCAAAGAAGAATAAAATTAGTTAAGTTGACAATTTTGTATTAGTACTAAACTATAATTGATTTTAAAAAAAAGAAGAAGATAAAAGTAAAAAATAAAGTAATTTGCTATTAAATAAAAATTATATTGTATTCAAAGAACTAAAATAAAAACGAGGAGAAAAAATTGAGGAAAGCTTCGGGTGGTTTCGAATCCGTGTCACCACAGCGTAAGAGAGAATTTAAATGCCCAAAGCAACCACTTTTTCCATCCGTCACTTACCATTAAAATATTTCAGGGGTCCAGTACAGATATTTTTGCGGAGGCTAAGGTGACCCCTCAACCACCAACGTAGGTCCGTCAGATTGTAAATGACTCGACTACAGGAGACCTTGGTTTACACAGCAAGGTGTGGTACCATTTGTTGGTAAGAACGCCTCCTCGGCTATATGCAAAGAGCTGCAGCCACACTCATTTTCCATTTTGATAACTGAAAAAGCAACTTTATTCAATAGTACCCCGAGTGCAAGTGATTACATTGAAAAGTTTGTACAGGTATTCTGATTACGTAGATTATATAATTTACCCTGTAAACCTAGGTATTCTGAATATCCCTTTTTAGTCGTAAGCTTTAATTATCTTCTGCACTAATAGTTAAAATGTTGACTGGGAGAATGGGATTGAGTTTGCTGTCAAAAGAAAAACAGGTATATGCAGTCTCTGAACTATAATGCACAGGACATCAACGCTGTTTTATTGTGGATGGTTGCTTAAGTTCAGATTCTATAGGTAAGCAGAAATAGAGCTATATAGTACTTACACATATCCAGCTATCAGGAAATTTTGAAGCTCATATACAGTGAAATATTTCCAAGTCTCGCCAAGTATTAGAAAAGAAACATGTACAATTCCTACTAAATTATGTGGTCCTAAACAACCAAGTTTTGTTGTTTACGTTTAACTAAAGTGTTACTAATCATAGCCATATATATCTCCTATATTATCTTGTATCTAGGAAAACTTGAAATGCCACATTGATTCTTTTCTCAACTTAAAAGTAGAGATTAAGAGGACATATAATTCTTCTTTCACATAGTTCGAAACTGGATGGATAATGAGAAGAGAGAGTAGCTATTTTGATTACTTCCTTGACAAGTTCATTAGAATTGAGGACAACAATTGTATTGACGCAGTTTTGATGGAGTAGATTGGCACACACTAAGCTTTCAATATTTTTTCAAGTTAAAACCCATATTGTTAATGGATTCAGTGTGAAATCTTGAAGGTTGCACCATCAAATATAAATTATGATTCCGACTCTGGCAATTTGTTACATGACTTTGTTATAAACTATTAAGAATGGGAAGCTGTGGAGGCAGAAAAAAGGAATGGACTTGTTAAATATCAAACAAGCTTGACTCTGTACTGTGTTGCTTTGCTTACTTTAAATCACATCTAAAAAATTTAAAACCATTGGCACGTTTAAAAGCCAAACTTGTGTTTTAATGACTGGTTCTTTTTTTTGCTTTCTTATTCTACTCTTCTTTTCTTGTATCTATTGAATACTAAAAACATACTGTTTGTGCACTATTCATTCATTTCCAAATAACCTATCTGTAGTAAAATGGGTCACAATACCTTGTCCTAGGATACCTTTGATTAGTTCCTATCATCCATGGATAATCAATTGACATAGCTTCTTTGCCATTCATAGTTATTTCTACCTGAAAGAACGTAAGGAAGGAGTTGAAATTACCAAAGCTGAATGTAGAAATAAGCATATTTACATTATATATCGTAAACTAACTGAGCCAAATGATTTTCCACATTATAGTAGAGTAGCTAAACAGCTAACAAGATATTGAAATAAGAAATTCAGAGTTGAAAAATGAACAGGAGAAGCAATTTTGCTACCAAAGTTATTGGGCCAAGAAATGGAGCTATGGACTCGTCTTAGAATACAGAATATTTTGCAATTAAGAGAGAGATGATGTAAGTTTATTTTCGGGTAGCTTGTCTAAAAAGAGTTCAAAGAAGTTACATCAAAATCGAAGAATGAACTTTAGTATATACACTGCAAATGTGATAATTTGGGAAAAATAGATACTCCTTGTAAATCAGAAATATTCTATTTCATCCAGCTGGTTTGCCAACAAAAGCACTACTTTACTGCTAGTGTCAGAAGAAACCAATGCAAGCAGTTAGGTAAATTCGTACTAAAGTTATCAATATTATTGGATAAGAGAAATCCAAGAATGTTACATTTACCTTGTAGTAATACCAAGCATACAATTCAGGATCCTAGCCCAAGCGTAGCATAGCCCACGGTACATCCTAGTTGTATAAAGTAAGGGTGTAATGTGGGCCGGGGTGGGCCCGGGACCGGCTGACACCGCGGGCCAAACGGGCCTAACGGTCCCGGTCTCTAATGGTGCATAAGCCCGTAGCGGGCCGGTCCAACCCAAATAGCCCGTGAGCCCGGGACCGGCAAGCGAGCCTGGACCGGTTCAATCGGGCCCAACGTGCCCCAACGGCTATTTTTTTTTAAATTTTTTTTCCATGGAAGGTATATGCATGGTCAAATGCACTGCAACAAACTCCACTCCAAAGAACAAATGTAGCATGTGAAGCTGCAAATCAGTTTCTGCTTTATTCTCCTCGAAAGTTGAATAAAGAAGTTAAAATACAACAGTGAAGAAAGAAGAGGAATTGGATCTTTGGATAGGGAACCCCCAGGTTACCAGTTATGTATTCAAAGATCTAATACCCCTTCTTTCAGGAATTATGTCTTCAAGATCCACAATATGAACAAAATTTTGCCAAAAATGTATATGATTAGTCACCAAAAGTAGTGCACAATCTGAACATTTAGAGACTAGCAGTACTTCGTTCATATTCTCGTCTGCTGCCTTGGAATTAGTTTTCTAAATATGTTATCTTGCTACTACTTGTTATCAGTACCCCTTTCATATTATCTGTTGCTATCTCCGATTTAGTTTTCTAATTATTGTTTTGCTATTACTTGCTACCAGGGCTTCTCTCACCTTCTTTAGCCGAGGGTCTATTGGAAACAATCTCTCTGCCCTTTCAGGATAGGGGTAAGGTTGCGTACACCCTACCCTCCCCAAACCCTACTTGTGGGACCACACTGGGTGATTGTTGTTGTTGTTATTGTTAAGTGTATCATGTTTTCTACCTCACCAATAAGTTGCGCCAATGCACATGAATAACATAATCGGTGAAAATTTTATTGTGACTAAAAATTCAAGGTCAAGCTTTTAAGCATACAATAATTTAACACCAACAGTTTAGTTGTTCGAAGCAAAAAACTCATTGGAGCAACAGATTTATGTGCATATCAACTTAACAGCCTACAGTAATAGTATTGTTTGACTTAAAAAGTTATCGAACAATTTTTAAGCAAATCAATCAATATACAAGGAGGGGTAAATCGTAATCGAAAATAATTGACTCTAGGATGATTTTTGCACTTTGATTCGTAATGAGAAGATGAACTGGGAAACAGAGAAATATGATGATATTAGAGAGGTGAGAGAGAGCAAGTCAGATAGAGAGAGATAGAAAGTATTATTGATAATCAATCCCCCCTTCTTTACACAACTGAGACCCCCCTTATATAGCGGAGGGGCTCTATTTTAACTGCCAAAAAGATAAAGATAAAATAAATGCTATAGAGGGACCGACGTGGTTGCGAGGTCGTCCTTTGTATTGTCCTTGAGTCATTCCTTCAGCCGGACTTGTGTATACGGTTGGTCGTGCTTACTTGGGGATGTGATCAGTCAAATTCGACCCCATACAGTTAGTCCCTCCGCTCGTCGGGGTCGCAGCGAGGTGCGTCCTCGATGGGCGGAATTAACACCTTCGTTTTGGGAGAGTTTGACCCTACCAAGGGAGTGTGATGTGACATATAGGAGGCAGTCATCATGACCGTCAGATCGCCAAAGCGTGACGCCTTTCCCCATATGATGTCAGCATCCGCATGCGTCATCATTACGCGTATTCTCGAGGTAGGAAATCGACAGCTCCGGCGCTTGGTTTCCCGCACTGGTTCGAATTCTGTCTCTTCGATTCTAGCGCTTCCCAATCCTTATAAATAGGGGAGGGGTTTAACTTGACCCAAACTTTTGATCATTTACAAATACATTCCATCTCCCGGTGTGATCCTTCTGATCGAGAACCTTCCTTCCCTGTGTTGTGCGTAACTCTTTTTTCATTGCAATCATGCCTAAACCTCGCCGTGGTAATGAGAGGATCCCGGCGGCTGTCCCGTCGAACGCGCCACCTCCTTCCGATGGCGGTGGGGAGGAGGAGGAAGAAGATATGAGTCCTCTTATCGTGGAAGCGCTGCTGCCACAACGCACCCTATCCCGGAGTGATTTTAGTAAGGATTCCCCAGTT